TGTACCTCCACTAGGTATTAAGAGATGTCCCCCAAGTCTTTTTTTTTTTTTTTTTGGTTAGGCAGTAGGGTTAAGTGACTTTCCCAGGGTCACACAACTAGTAAGTGTTATGTGTCTGAGGCCAGATTTGAACTCAGGTTCTCCTGACTTCAGGGCAGGTGCTCTATCCACTGCACCACCTACCTGCCCCACCTACCCAAGTCTTTATGGATCTGTCCACTAGCCCATATCAGCCAACTTAGATCTTTAAAACGCATGCCTATGTAACAGGTCATAAGAAATGGTACTCTACGCATAGCAAAATATCAAGGTATCTGGCCAATTTCATTTGTAAGTCTCTAGTGGATTTATTTATACCTATTCTCCTCTTTTCTAAGGAGATCCAGGGGAATGGCTACATAATTTATTTCTCATAATAAAATTACAGCCTCTTTCTCATGAATTAACTTCAGCCCCCATACTAGTTCATCAGATATTTGTCGTATTTTATGTTCTCTGTAATTCTGTATGCTTAAAAAGACACTAAACAGCCTTTTTGTTTTATGAGGTAGACATTCAGAATAGAAGTTACATACCTTCGATGAAAATAAGGTAAGAGGGTGAATACCAAAACATAACATGGTACTTTTAAAAATGTCAAGAGGGAAACCCAAGATGAGTAAGGAAATAGTAAGAACCCCCTAATAATCATTGCCTTGAATTCAAGACACTAGGCTTATATCAACTTATTCTCAGTTATTGGGAAAAAAAAACAAACTAGTGAATTTGATTACTGAATCACTGTTAGTGATCTCTGAAAGGTCTTGGACAATGAAAGTACTATAAGATTAAGAAAGGACAGTGTCCTGACTTACAAAAGGGAAGAGAACATATAGTTCAGTACATTTATTTTGAAGGTGGGAAAAATTCTGGAATATGTTTAAAAAAAAGATTAATTGGTGAACATTTAGAAAAGGAATCAGTGATCAGAAAGAAGTAGCATGGCTTCAGCAAGAACAAGTCATACCAGACTAATCCTATTTCCTTTTTTGACAGGCTTATACAGCTGGTAGATCAGGGGAAAGCTGTAAGTACAGTTTAGCTGAATTTTATAAAAGCATTTGGAGTGGATGACTTCTGAAGTTCCTTCTAGTTTTTAAGTCTGTGAACCTGTGCAAGTCTGCCATGTAATTTTTGTGGAAAAGGTAAAGAGGTGTATAATTAGGTAGGTTTAGAACTGGTTTCACAACCAGACTGTAAGAATAGTCATGAATACTTCCATTGGAATTTACTGGACACAAAAATTATGTTTTGTCTTATGCTCCTAAACATTTTTATCAATTACTTGGATAGATGGCATATATAAGTATGTATCATGCTTAACCACTTTGCAGATGACAGAAAGCTGAGAGAAATAGCTAATACCCCTCTTGACAGGATGAAAAATAGATCATCTAAATCCACAACATTGTGCTAGATATGTTTTGAAGTTTCACAGGGGTAAATAAACTCTTATACTTTGTTTCAAAATTAGAAAGAGATTTGCCAGTTTAGTGGACTTGAAAAGCAATATAAGTCAGTAAGAAGCTGAGAAAGCTAAGATGGTTTTAGGTTGTGTTGAAAAAAGCATAGTTTAAAGGAACATGCAGAGTTCATAATTCTACTGCACTTTTCAGACATTGTCTGGAGTATTTTCTTCATTTATGCGTGTCACATTTTGTAGAAAGACTAGTAAGCTGGAATGGTCCACCACAGTGAAGGAAGGACTTAAGTCATGTAAAGATTGGAATAAGTTACTTGAGATATTTTGATGAAAGGAAAGAAGGATAGGGTATGGGGGGAACTGTGTATCTCCAAGTATCTTAATCAGCAGAACTAGAATACTAAGTAAAATTGAACAACTGGTAAAATTGGCACAGTGGATAGAGTGCCCAGCTTGGAGTCAAGAAGACCAGAATTTAGATCAGCCTCAGACACTTAATAGCTGTGTGACCCTGGGCAAATTACTTAATCTCTGTTTGCCTCAGTTTCCTCATCTCTAAAATGGGGGAAATAATAATTCGTACCCTCCAGCATTGTTGTGAGGAGCGAATGAGATAGCTATAAAGTGCTTGGTGGTGTCTGACTCACATAGTAGGTGCTATGTAAATGTTGTTTTTGTTGATATTGGTATTATGGGAAATTTAGGTTTGAAGCGAGGAAAAACTTTTTAAAAATTCATTAATTTATTTATTTTTAGTTGTCAACATTCTCTTCCACAAAATTTTGAGTTTCAGATTTTCTCCCCATCTTGTCCCTCCCCCAACCCCAAGACATTGTGCTGAATACCCTTAAGGAAAAACTTTCTACTGGAGCTATACAGCAATGAAATGTCCTACTTTAGTAGATAGCTGTTTCCATCTCATCAAATACCTTCAAATGAAGGCCAAAAAGCCATAGAAAGAATTTTTTCCCAAGTATATATATTGGACTAGGTGGCCACTTAGGTGTCTTTGACTCTTAAATTCTGTGATTGTGGGGGCAGAGAGAAGAGATGGGGGAAGATGATGATGTGATCTTTTAATGGCTAAGGAGACCTGATGTTGAGTAGTGTGTAGTTCATTATTAATTTCCTTCACAAACTGGTTCTATTTAAATTTTTTTTTTAATACCCTCACGTGTAAAACCAAGAAGAAAAAAACCCTATGTTTTCCTCTCAGAAAAGTCCCATGCTAGAAATTAACCTTGAATGAGGGACTCCTGTTTTGCTGTAGAATTCTTGGAGCTCATAATTGGATATTAAAAATGTTTGGGGATTACCATGAGAGGTAGGGTTGTGTGTGAGATAGCTTTTCAGACAGGCTTGATGTGACTGATTAATTCATTTTAAGGCCTTAATTATTCAAAAGTATCAGAGGAGTAGACCCTTCACATCCCCACCCCTACCCTCACCCTTATATTAGGCCTGCTTCTGAAATTCCCCCAGTTACTTGCTCAGTTATCTCAAAGTTGCTCAAGGCTACACAAAAATAAATAGTCCTAAGCCCGTGCAGCTTTGGAGAAATGGCTTCATTGACAGACTAGATTTTAGGCCTTACCATGGATTTTATGCTTTGATGCTGCATTGATAAATATTTGTTTATTCAGTAAACTTTTATTAAGTTCCTACAGTGAAGGCACTGTGCTTAGGCGTTCAAATACAGAAATTAAACAGTCTTGACCTCCAGGTGTTGATGTTCTACAAGGGGAGTATCTAATTATAAAATATTTTACCATGCAGGTCCCTCTGGGTTCTTGAACGCTATGCTAATGGAATGCAAACTCTCATACCTTCTACCAAATTGGAAGGTGTTGGAGTCCATTGATTGACTGTATATGTCTGTTCATCAGGACCACCTTAACTAAAGTTCAGAGGGGCATTGAAAGGTACTCATTAGGAAAATCTCAATCATAGAACTTCAGATTTGCAAGGTACCTCTGAGGCCCCTAGTCTAACTTCTGCTTGAACAAGAATCCTTTCTACTGCATGCCAGATAAACAGCCAGGGTGTAGCCATGGCTTCCTTTCATTTAAGGGGAAATCAGTAACTACTACAGCCCATTCCACTTTTGGAACTCTTCTTTTTAATCATGAAGTTTAAATTGATAACTTCTGTTCTTATGTCATCTGGATTTCCCAAAGATCTCTCCTCTTAAAAGAACCATTCCTTAAAACAAATAAATTTTTAAAAGAAAAAAAGGGAAGAGGAAAAAAAATTAGTAAAAGCAATACAAATATATAGCAAAAAATGTCATTTTATGAAGTGTGCCACAATCGTGAACTCCCTTCCTCCTCAAAGAACAAGGAAGAGGTGGTGATATCTTCTCCCATATTGTCGTAGGGGTCCAGAATTGCTTTTTGGAATTTTTGCAGCATTAATTTTTGATTGTATTGTGGTTGTCTTTTTCTACTTGCATTGTAATCATTGTGTATATTGTTTAGTTGGTTCTACATGCTTCACTTTTCATGTAAGTCTTTCCATGCTTCTCTATATTTATCATTTTTGTCATTTCTTACAGCACAGAAATATTCTATTAAATTCACATACCACCATTTGTTTAATGATTCTCCAGTCCAAGGACATCTACTTCATTTCCAGTTCTTTACTACCACAGAAGTGTTGTTATAAATATTTTGGTGTTTATGGAACCTTTTGTTGTATCAGTGACATCCTTTGGGAGTAAGCTTAGCAGTAGAATTTCTAGGTCAAAAGATATGGCATTTTCAGTCAAATTGCTTTCCAGAATCATTATACTAAATCACTCATTTAGCTCCATTAACATTGCATTAGTGCAGTGCACTACTGGTGGAGTTGTGAACTGGTCCAGCTATTCTGGAAAGCTGTTTAGAACTGATGCCCAAAGGGCAGTAAAACTGTGAATTCTTTGACTCAGAAATACTACCACTAGGTTTATATTCCAAAGATCAAATAAAAAGGAAAAGAACCCACATGTACAAAAATATTTATAGCAGCTCTTTTTGTAGTGGCAAAGAATTTGAAATTAAACCATTTGTTGGGTGGCTGAACAAGTTGTGGTAGATGATTGTGCTATAAAATTGACAAGTTGGGATGGTTTCAGAAAAACCTGACAAGACTTATGAACTGAGGCAAAATGAAGTGATCGGAACCAGAAGAACATTGTACACAGTAACAGCAGTATTGTAACAATGATCAAATGTGAAAGACTTAGCTACTGTGATCAAGAGGATGATTCAAGACAGTTCCAAAGGACTCATGATGAAAAATGCTATCCACTTCTAGAAGAACTGATAAACTCTGAGTACAGATTGAAGCTTATTTCTCTTCTCCCTTCCCTTAAAATGAATGTTAAACATTTAAAAATTTAAAAGCAAACATTTCATTAGTGTGCCTGTCTTTCCACAAAGCCTCCAATGTAGACTATTCCCATCTTTTATCTTTGTCAGTTTGTTGGGAGTGAGTTGAATCCTTGGGGTTGTTTTGATTTTCATTTCTTTTATTAATGATTTGGAACATTCTTTCATGTGATTGTTAATATTTTGCAATTTTTCTTTTGAGAACTGTTTGCTCATATCTTTTACCCATTTAACTGTTGGAGAATGGCTTTTGGTCTTAAATATTTTTATTAGTTGTCTATATATCATAGATACCAAATCCTTACCTGAGAAATTTGATAGAAAGTGCTCCCCACCCCAATTTAACCATTTCCCTTATCCAGGATACATTTTGCTTGTGCAAAAGCTTTTTGATTTCATGTAATAAAGAATTACCTGTTTTATCTTTTGTAATTACCTTTATTCCTTATTTGGTTAAGAATTCATCTCTCCCCTACATCTGTGAAAAGTATTAGACAAAGCAAAAACAATAATCTACAATATAAACCAATAAATAAGGAGACTACATTGTGCTAAAACAAACTATAGATAAAAAACCAGCATCAGTATTAAATTTTCATACTCAAATGACATAGCATCTACATTCATAGAGAGAAAATGAACTGAATTTCAAGAAGACATAGATAAATTAACAAAAAAAAGAAAATACAGAATTGAACACATTGCTTGAAAAATTAGAAATAAAAGTTTTATGGCACTTTATGAATGGTTTTGCTAAAGAATGTACATATTCAGCATCATGGAACTTTTGTAAAAATTGCCTTTTAGATCACAGAGATATTACAAATAACAAAAAGGCAGAAATATTAATCATGTTCTTTACAGTTCGTAACAGTAAAAGTAGATATCAGTTTGAGAAACTCAAAACAAAATACAGATCCAATTGGAGATTTAATGAAATCTTTAAATAAAGGAATGGATCAAAGATCAAATCATAGAAACAAAAATTAGGTGAAAAACAATAGTAATTAGGAAATAACATAACAGAAATTTCTGGACTGCAACAAAACAAGCTTGGCTAAGGGCTTCTATGTGCCAGGAACTGTATTAAGGCCTGGAGATACAAATGAAAGGTAAATGAAAAAGCTACCCTCAAGGAGCTTACATTCTACTAGGGGAAAATAACATTCAAAAGGGAACTGAAAATTGGGGAGTAGGTTACCTATAGAGAGAAGATACCTCCACAAAGGGGATAGTACTGTGTCAGAGTAGAGCCAATAAGGGATTGAAGGGTTAGTCAGTCTCTCATCCCCTCCCTAAAATGGAGGCCCTAGAAGGAATTCACCCAGCTTGGCCCCATGACATTTGGGGATGATAAGGTTGAAGTGGTAAATGAATGCTCCAGATTCAAGCAGTCTCACACACTGAGTTGGAAATTCCAGTTTGAGACATCAGCTGAGGCATGATCACAAAGTCCAAAAAGTCAGTGAAAAATAACATCCCTAAAAAAAAAAAGACATTGGCAAAATAGAAAAGAAGCTTAATGTATTGAACATGTTTTTTTTTTAATTAGCAAGCCAAAATAAGGACTGAAGAGGAAATCTTGAGAATTAGAAGAGAAAAAGATGACAAAAAAACTTTAAAAGTGATCAAATTAAAAGCTTTCTTTGAAAAAAACTAATAAAATTGATAAACCTTTCACTAATTTGAAATTTAAAAAAAGCAGAAAATCAAACCAATAAAATAAAACAGATGAAAAAGCTAAAATCACAACAAAACCAGAAGAAATAAAAAGTTAACAGAGTCTAGTATCCATAGTTATATGCCAACAAAATTGAGAATTACCTTCAAAAGAAAAGAAAAAGAATTACCTTCAAAAAATATAAAATACAAATACAGCAGAACACCTAGATCTAGCAAGAAAGGAAGTGCCATTGGAAAAAACTCCTGGGCTAAATGGATTTACTAAAGAATTCTATCAAACTTTTAAGTAACAATCAATGACAATACTACAAATTTCTCTCAAAAATTGGGTAACAAATTCCTTTGCCAAATCCTTTTACTTATTTCTTTAAAAATTATTTCTTGTTCCCTAGTTTTTTTTACATCGTAACTTTCCCCCTATTTTCCCCTTTACTCCTGATCCAGAAAGTAATATTCTATAACAAGGGCAGCTAGGTGGCGCAGTGGATAGAGCACTGGCCCTGAAGTCAGGAGGACCTGAGTTCAAATCTGGCCTCAGACCAAACAGCTGACATGTACTAGCTGTGTGACCTTGGGCAAGTCACTTAACCCTGATTGCCTCACTTTAAAAAAAAATTCTATAACAAGTAGTATTTTTCAAAGACAAAAAAAAAAAGCAAAAAAACCCCTTAAATAATTACCTTGAAAAATCCTGAAACTATGTACAATATTTGTGGACTTCCGAACCCTGCCATGAGATGGAGTGAATGTGTCTTCTCATATCTCTTCTTTGAAGCCGGGCTTTTTCTTTATAATTTTGCAACATTCTCTTGATTTTTGGTGGTGGTGGTAGTGGTGTTGAATCAACTTCCAATTGACCTGTGATTAAAATATCCAAATCATATTCTCAGACACCATCTTTTCAGGAACTGTTCACTTACCAATAACTTTGCTCTTCTACATTCTTTGTCTTTAGTGGACAACAGTGAGCAGAATACAGTGTATGTTTTTTGGCATTCGTTTTCTTGCTTAAAACTTTATGATGATTGACAATACAAGTTTAAATTTTAGATTATCCTAGAAGAGAAAAGGAGTAAGTGGGTGAAAATTAAAAATTTTGTTGAAGAGGATGGTACAAATTAATATCTTTAAAATTGTTGAGAATAGATCAGATGTATACAGACAGGGAAGAATTTACCTCTTGTATATCTGAGCTTGTAAAAATGAGGGTAGAGTGAGAAAATGAAAATAGAAGTAAGCTAAAATAATTTGGAAAGAGTTTGGGAGTCAGTGAGAGGAGACGGGATTAGAAGCAAAACTGACTTGTTGAATTAAGAGGAGAGGGAAGTATTATTATATAGGTATCCTCTGACTTCCTTTAAGTCCCAACCAAAATCCAATCTTCAATAGGAAGCCTTTCCTGAGCCCTCTTTATTCCAGTGCTTTCCCTTTGTTAATTGCTTCCTGTTTGTCCTATTTATAGCTTGTTTTATATTTATTTTGTATGGATTTATTTGCATGTTGTCCATTGGGCCCTCCCCTCGCCCTTCGGATTGTAAGTTCCTTGAGGGTAGGGACTGTCTCTTGCCTCTGTTTGTCTCCTCTATGCTTAGCACAGTGCCTGGCACACAGTAGGTACTTAATAAATATTTATTGAATTGTATAGGGTTTAATGGAGGGAAACACAAATGTAACATTTATAATGCTAGATGTATATGGATTAAAATTGCCCAAGAAAAAGAAAATGAAATAAAGGATGCATGTGAGAAACCTTCAAACCTTTATCTAAATGAGGGACTAGAGCAAAATTTCATTCTAAAAACAGGAATTTTAAATACTTAATATACAGCAGCAGTCAAAATTGATAATGCCATAAAGACAAATATGGAAGTTATATTATGCTCAAAGGCACTGTAGACAGTTGAAAAAGTCATTTTCATATATATAAATCATACTAAATGGCAAAACATGTAGTATATAAGTAGTTAAAAGAAAGTTAGCTGAATTGTGGTTAAGACATTGTTATCTGATAGTAATAACAGTAATTTGTTAGGAACTTGAATTGTTACCATCTTGAGAGCTGAAGAGATGCCAGCAGAAAGTTAAATGAGAAACAAAACAACTGAATAGGTTATTAGAAAAGCTATATTTCAAAGATCTATGGTTATTCCTGAAGAGAATAGCAGAGTACCTTTTATCATGTCCTAGGGCAGAAGGGAATCATTAACAAATGTAAAATAGAAGAAGTAGTAAACATTTTCTTTACACAGATCATCACATGTTTAGAAATAGTGGTCAAAAAAGGGAAATACCAGCAAAAGATACAGAACTGAGTGAAGCAAAAATGAGACCACATACCAAAACTTAAGTGATGTAGCCAAAGCAGTGCAGTGGAAATTTTGTCTTTGAAAACTTGTGTTAACAGAACAAAAAGGATCAAAAATGAACTGAGCATGCAATATTTTACAAGTAAAAAATTAACCCTAAATAAGTAAAAAAGAAATTTCAAAAATTATAGGGTACTTAAGAGCTTTAAAAGAAAAGACTAAAAAAAAATTCCAAAAATTCACTAATTTTAAAAAGAAACATGATCCAATTCAAACAAGGTGATCAGAAACTACTGTAAAAATTATGTACTGCCATAACAGAAATTAAAGGAAATTGATGATTATCTACAGAAATTCAGTGTTTCCAAATCAACACATTTTAAGTGACACAGTAGATAGAACATTGGGCCCGGAGCCAGAAAGACCTGAATTCAAATTCAGCCCCAGACACTTACTAGCAGTATGATCCTAGGAAAGTCATTTAACCTTTATTTGCCTCAGTTTAATCATCGGTAAAATGGGGATAATAATAGAATCTACCTCCCAGGGTTGTTGTGAGGAAATTGCTTAACACATTCTTGACTGAAAGTAAGCTTATCTATATAAATGTTACCTTTTATTATTTAACTGAATCTCAGAAAAAGAAATTGAGAAAGCCAAAAACGAACCATCAAAGGAGCATTAGTCATAGATGGATTTATACGTGAATTCTAGCAGTTTAAAATGCAAGTCATAACCTATATTACAACAAATTCTCAAAAATAAAGGGATTCATCAGATTTCTAGTACTATAATCTATAAAGAAAAAAGCAGAGAAAGAGATCAATTTCACTACAAAATACTGATGAAAAAAGTTTGTTTTAATCTTAGCAGACTACAGCCAATATACACATACACACATATAAATTCAGTATGACTAAGTTGGATTTATACCAGGTATGCAAGAATGGATCAGCATTATTCAGGTAATCAACATAATCATGTCAACAGCAGCCACCACACAATTATGTTAGTAGATGTAGAACACAATAAATGACAACACTTTTTATTTCCAGGATTGTCAATTTCATCTTTGTAAAATCTTCCAGATACACCCCCTTCTCTCTTCTTGACACTTCCACAACTCCAGTACACTTATCACTTCTTACCTTGATTATTGCAAAAGTCTGCTGGGGGGGGGGGTGTCTGCCTGCCTGCCTCAAGTCTCTCCCCACTTCAATCTATTCTCCATTCAGCCACTAAAGTGGTTTTTTAAAGTGACATGTACTCTTTTATTCAGTGACACTGACTTCCTTGCTATTCTTCAAACAAGACACTCCATTTCTCAGCATTGGGCATTTTCTCTGGCTGTCCCCCCATGACCTTCCTGACTTCCTATAAGTCTTAGCTAAAATCTTGAAAAACAAAGGAAAACGGTCCAACATTTGATGAGATGGAAGACCCCGTAGAATTTGAGGAGAACTTGAATCCACAACAAACTTCCTGAGTGGTTCAAAATAGAAATGAAAATTATAAGAGCAAAATTTTTGGCCTGCACGGCAAAAATAATCAGCAGATTAGAAAAACTACAATATGCAATGGCAAGACTCACCAAAGAAACGAGAGAACTAAAGACTAGGATTGCACATCTATAGAAGTGAAGGACAATCTAGGAAGAGAAGTAAAAAACAAGAATGTTAAAGGAAAATAAGCTCTCTCTGCAAGCACATGGGGGGCAGCTAGGTGGCGCAGTGGATAGAGCATCAGCCCTGGATTCAGGAGGACCTGAATTCAAATCCAGCCTTAGACACATAACACTTCCTAGCTGTGTGACTCCAGATAAATCACTTAACCCCATTGCCTAGCCAAAAAAACCCCAAAACAAGCAAAGCACATGTATCAAAAAGATGAGATATGTAGAGACTACTTGAGTATCATAGATCTTCCAGAAGAATATAACAGAACAAAAAAACCTTAATCCTAATGAAGCAAATAATAGAAGAGAACTATTCAGAAAATCTGAACATAGAAGCTGAAATTTCATTTGAAAGAATTGTTAGATTACCGGGGGGGGGGGTAGATAAAAAATCAAGGAAAAAAACCATGGCTACAAACTTCAAGGTGTGTAGTTGTTAAATTTGACAATTCAATTCAGAAACACAACACAGATACCAGGGAAAGGAAATTTGCATAACATGACTATTTTTGACTCCACCTGAAAACATAGGAAGGAATAAAATAATGTTTTTAGAAGATCAGTGGAGCTCAGAATTCATAAAATTCTGAAAATCTGAGCTCAGCCATAAATGAATAAAGTGAATAAAGTTCAGTGATAAAGAGGCATTTGAAACATTTTTTAGAAAAAAAAATCTAATCTGAAACAATTATTTGCTTCTTCAACACCCCCAAACAATAGAAATGAAGTGGAATTAATAAACACGGCACCCAAACCCAGTAGCAACAGTAACAGCAGAGACCAGTAAGTGATTTCTTTCTAAATTTAGACAAGGACACTAGTAAAGACAGAAGCCCTTTAGGTGAAGAGAACCTAGTGATACTTTGCCTACAAATGAATTAATATTTTTTGTGGGACTACATCATAACATGCAAGGATGTGTGAAAAAGGGAAGGGGGTGTAGATAGAGAGGAATATGTGTTGTGAGGTCAAATCTAGGGTTAGCAATAAGGGGAATATGACCCTTGTGGTTTCTTTTAGATAGAATCCTGCAGGAAGTGGGTAAGGAGGAAGGGGAGGATTGGAAAGAGGGAGAAAGGAAAAAGGATTTGCTTTGGTGATGATGGAGGTCTACTGATGAATGCTCCCATGTATGAAGAGAGACAGTCTGTGAAGGAAGCTGGGAATCTTGCGCTGAGTGTAGTCTGAGGTCTCTGGTTCTTGAAAAGTCCACTGATCCTACCTGGGAAGGAGGCAGCATTGGCCTATTGGGAGCACTTGAAACATGAGAGAGAGAGCAGAAGGGCATGGACTTGGGGGAGATTTTGAGGCATATGGGAGGGAAAAGGGAAGAGGGAATGGAGAGGGTATAGATCTGTTGTGAACTGCATAATTAGCGACCCTACCATCGTATAATGTCCTAACATCTGCAATACTTGGCATTGTTCTGGGAGTGAAGCACAGTGGAAAGAGGGGATCCATGGGGCAAACTCTACAAAGCAATATCAGAAACCACCGAGAGGGGAGAGCCTAGAGTGGATGGAAGATAGCTTGGAAGTTTTTGATTGCATGAGAAATACAAAAAAATAGAGAGATAGAAAAGTATAGGTCATAAGAGAATTAGCAATCTTTTGGAAATGAATGTAACAAAAGAATGAACAGGAATAGTTTAAAGGGAGGAGAGGAAGGGAGGAATCTATTTGACTGAGAAGAAAAAAGGCTCAAAGAATTATATAACCAGATAAAAGCAGGAAAGAAAAAGGAAGTAGTAGGCAAAACCACAAAGGGAAAAGAGTAACAATCCAGGGGACAGGATAAAGTGAGGGGAAGAGAGCCAACAGAATAGGGCCACCTTAAAAAAAGATTAAGGTAAAATAACTGAAGGAAGATAGTATTAT